AAACAGGGACACAGGAAGTACCTCCCTCTCTCGGGGAAGCTAGGAGCACTGCAGGAGGTAAGATTTTATCTCTGAGCTCTGACCTCTCGGCTTTCTTTTTTACATGGGCTCTGTGTTTCTTATTTTAAAAAGACGATTGGTTACATCTACACTATTGAGTGGCTAATATACATTATGATAAAAAGAAAAAGAGAGCTGGTGTCTAGCCCAGCAGTGGTGTGCTCTGTCTAGCATGCATAAGGCCTTAAGCTAACAACTTAGCTCTTTTTTATTATTTGTTTTGAGACGGAATCTCCCCAAATTGTTCAGACTATAATATAGATTTCTTATGTTAGAAAATTTTAGTGTATTTCCCCCCCTTTCTTAGAGAAAGTGTTACTTTAAAACTTAATCCACATTCTGATACTTCCTGGGTCTGTTGTCTGCCCAAATCGTGACGAGTAAATGCTGTTTAAATTGGCTGGCTTCTCCAGGCTCTGTGGCTCTGATCTGTAGTCCTAACATCTGGGCCTGTGATGAGGAGCAGCCCAGGAGATCAAGTCCAGCCTGGGCAACGTAGTGAGACCCCATTTAAAAACAAACAGGTAAACTGTCATACTTTCTGTTGATATTCCCCTGAAGGTACAGAAGGATTCTTGAAAGGTCCCCTTTCTGAAGAAACAACATCAGACAGTGTCGATGGTGATTTTGAGTCTGTCATTTTGGATCCAGAGAGATTTGAACCGCGGCTGGATGAAGAAGACACGTATGTTGTAATAGACCTAGAGTGCTCTAATTGGGGAATGGAGCCTGTGTGCACATGCCGTATCATACCACAATAATTTCAGACTTAGAAATAGCTATACTACTTTCCATCTTAAGCAAGTACTTCTGTTTGCTCTTGTATGGTGGGCAATACTGACATTTTACTATGAATACTTGGCTGGATCCTGCACATAGTATTTTTTTTCAGATCAGACCTGTCTTTGTTTCTGAGTTTTTTTTTTTTTTTATAGTTTAATGTATTTTAATAGCAAACTTACAGGAACAGCACAGAAGACAGACAACATTAAAAACATGTACTTGCATGTAGGATAACTCAGTTAGAAAAGTATAGTGAATGGATGGAATCTACTGTATGATAAAAATGCTACAAACACCATTTAGTTGCCGTCAATAAGAAATTTACTTATTTTAAAAAAAAATTTTCTGGACAATGTTTCTGAGTTTTGAGACACTTAGACTCCTCCTGTATCAGCTTTTGGGTGTTGGGATTAGATACATGTGTAAATATATCTGGCTTTCATTTTATAACGCATTAGGGTTTTTTTTAACATTAATGTTCAAAATGTTAAGTGACACTTTTTTTTTGGTAGAACTAACATTTTTTTTCTCTACTCAGTTACCTATGGAATTGAGTTTTCAAAAATTAAAATAGTATATGGTGGAATTCTGCATTGAACCCATCAAGAAGTACAAAGCATCCCCTGATACAGAGGCTTATCATCCAAACTGTTTTTTTCACAGGGACTTTGAGGAAGATGGTGAAAACCCTGATTGGGTGTCAGAGCTCCAGAAGCAAGTGGGATGGCAGGACGTGTATGATGGGAAACTCCTCGGAGAACGTGCCTGAGCCTCTGGGGAGATGCTGATGACTGGAAAGGAAGTGAAGACAGGAAATGTACCACAAGCTTAAAAAACAACCCAGAGCCCTTGTGAGTTTTCTAACACAAGGGAGGTCTAGAGATGCTGTGTGCCTTGCATTCCGGTGGACTGCTAGCCTGCTGGCTAACTCTGTGTGATAACAGGAAATTACTTAACTTCTTTGATCCCTAATTTTCTCAACTATACAATGAGAATAACAATGCCTACCTCATAGGAACCAAGACAGTTATAGCTACCCATGTGTTGTTATCCATGGTTACTATGTAACGTTCTCACCTTTCCTAAAGGGCCAAGGATCTAAATATATTAAATTGTGATGTTAAATGTGGCTATTTTTTTTTAATAATACCCAGATTGGGGATGCTTCAAGGTGATTTCCAGTGATCTCTATTTCTGCCAACTAGCAGCTGTCCTTAAATGTTCCTCATAGGTCAGGAGATCAGCCATGAGATGAATGGGTGCGCTCTAGAGCTTCCCAGAAGATTGTCGTCCTGGACCTGAGACAGGACTACAGCCAAAGAGATGTGACGAATGTCAGAAGTTAGCACGTGTTATGGAATGATGAGGGGCACCATGCACACCCATGCTGGATCCTGGACCCCATCATGTATTACCTCATTTAATGCTGTGACACTTTAGAGAAGGGAGAATCTTTCCCCAGTGAGGAAACAGGCTTCTCCTGACCCCGTATGATGAAGAGTGGGTAGAAATTATAGTCCAGTCATTTACCAGGATCTGCTGAAATATGGACTATGAGTAGCTTTTAACAACTTAACTCCTCCCTTTTTTTCCAGTGCTGGGGATCAAACCCAGGACCTTATGAATGCAAGGCAAGTAATCTGCCACAGCCACACCACAGCCCAGCTTCTGTCTATCTTAACATGCAAAGGCTGTGCAAATCCCCACCTGACCTGTGTATCTCCCTGTGCTCAGTCTTGTGGTCAGTGTGAGCTTCCTGTTGTCTCTGGCAATTTCCCTGTCTTCCCTTGCCATTTTTGGGGAGTGCTGGTTAGGTATTTTGTTTTCATCCTCAATTTGGGTGTGTCTGGTGTTCTTCACAAAGGTAAGCCCCGTCCTCATCGTACATGATGTCAGCATGGTGTGCCACAGATGCTGCTTGCTGAGATCAGTAGTTAACTCAGTATCTGCTGGGCTTCTCATCACAGGTACTAACTTCCTGTCCCTGTTCCGGTCACTGTCACTAACGGCCCCACTGATGCTGAGAGGATTCACGGTCTACCTCTGTTAGAGCAAAGAGTGTAATGTTACACTAAGTTGCTGGTTAGGTTGCTTAATTGTGTCCAGTTGGTTTCTGTGCACTTTGTGATGTTCTTGTCCTTTTAAATTACTACATTTTAAAATTACTAGATTAAATTAGATAAAGTAGGATTAACTTGTAACTTCTCTGTTTCAGTCCCAGAATCAACAGGTTTTTTTTCCTCCCAAGAAGCTATGGTTCCTCTCATTGTTTTAAAGCCAATATCTGGGTGCTGAGTGTGCTGGTTGCTCCTGACATATCTGGGTCCTGTCTACATACCTGTGTTCTGTGCACCCCCATCTCTCTATTAAGTCAGGCACAGCCTCACACTGAAGTCACTGACTAATACAATCCCATAAGGTTAATTCAGGCTTTTCCTCTTGCTCTTTTTATATTTCTGTTTTCTCTGGCGGTGAGAAACACAGACTGCAGCCATCTGTTTAGATGTTGACACCAGTATACATACAAAGCAGTGTCCAAACTGTTAACCCTCACTGCTGGGAGGAACGGATTAGCAACTAGAGTGCAGAGCTTGTGTGTGGCTTCTGTTGTTGGCTTTACCCTTCCTAGGTCAGTCCCTTGAACATTAGCTCACCACTTTTCTGGTGATCTTTTGTGTTCAAGAAGGCGTGAATAGTTACAAGAATTTTTCTAAGACACTCAACTTCCATATATGCCATCCCCCACATCTCCTTATCTGCTCTAATCACTAGGCACAAACATTACAATCCATCACACAAAGCAAACTCGAAATTATGTGCATAATAATATCTAATTAACCACCGAAGAGTCGAATTATAAATCCTCTTGAAAATCAGATGGTTTCCACCTTAGACCAAACTTTCATGCATTTGCTTATTTGGGTGAGATTTGCCAGCCCTGATAGCTTTTAAAAAGAGGGGGAATTGGGTGTGGCACACCTCTTTAGTTTCAGCAGGGAGGTGGAGGCAGGCAACTGGACCTTTGAGTTCCAGGCCAGCCAGGGGTGCATAGTGAGACCCTGTTACAAAAAACAAACTAACAAACAAAACCCCCACCATACATTAGATCCTATGCGCAGGAAATGCTAATTTCCATCTACATGCTTCTTTCAGAACTATGGTGACCAACAAGAACTTTAAGCATTGAAAAGATCATGTTGCTATAACATTCTGACCCAGGAAGTAGGATGCAGATAGAGGAGGAAAAGGAATAATGTACGTTTTTGGAGAAGTGAGCTTTGTTTGGGGGGGGGGGGGTCATAGACAACGGTGGGATATGAAATTGTCATGAGACTTAGATTCCACTGGATATGGCTGTCTTCCTTGTGTTGGTATTTACCATTTTGAAAGTGGTATATTTTTCCACAGGTCAATGCCTTGATGTACCTGTATGACATGGCGCTAGGTTGAGAAGGGCGTTTGCAGACCCCTGGGCAGCACCTGGTTTTGTTTGTGGACTAGGATTCCTTTAATACACCCCTCAGCAGTATTTGAGACCTTGCATGAGAAACCTGCTTCCTCCTGGGAGTATATATGACAGTTAAACACTGTTTAGTGTGTATGGGACCCAGGCACCATCGCTACCACCTCCCCCGACAAGCAAACCAACTTTTCCTCTCAGCATTGCTTACTTATCAGAAACCTCTGTAGGTGGCAGGCAGCAGAGAATATGTATACCAACTACACCAAAGAAACTCTCCCATCCCCACGCCCAAAAAGCCAGCCAAAAAAACAGGTATAAAGCTTCAAAAAAAAAAAAAAAAAAAAAAGAAAGAAAAGAAAAAGAAAAAGCCATCCATATAAGTCTGGAAAATAGCCAACCCCATCACACATCCTGGAACCCGAAGACTGCAACGAGGCAATCTGACTGATCGCCCACCCCACAGTTCTGGAAAAGTTTGCCCCCAAAGCGGTTTCTCCCGGCTTCCTACTCTCTTACTACAAAAACCGATTCTCAGACCTCGCACTGCCTTCTGCACCCACGGATACCAAAGCTGCAGGTTGCCAATCTCTCTAAATAAAAGTGTGCTTCTTCCGCTTTGAGGTCAACTCTGTCTTCTCGTTTTCCTCCTCTGACTTACTTCTCACAGCACAGGAGTGTGGAGATGTTTTCTGGTTGCTTGTTTTATGCATGGGTTCCCACCTCCGGCAACTGGAAGGAGTGTCCATGGGTCTCCTCTGCCCCCGCCCAGCGCTCCGCCCACTTTCCTGGAGGTGGCCCCACTCCAGCGTCCCTGAGGCTTCGCTGCCAGGGGCCAGATCCACCCGGACACTTAAAGACTCACTGCCCACTGAGCAGGTAGGCTGAGCCCACCGGGCTTGTTCTTCAGGAGCTGTCCCAGGTCCCTCTAAAGCAAGGGAGAGAGATGGGGAGTCCAAGCGGGAGGAGGCAGGGCAGCGGCGGCTGCGGAGCCTGTTCCCTGGGCTGCGTCAGTTTCCATGGCAACTCACAAGCTACAAAGTCCTGGACTCCATCCCCCCTCCCACATGCTGGCCACAGCCTCCCGCTGACAACCTAGTATCCACCTGACTTGAAATTTGAAAAACAACCTGCCCAGTAGACCACCCAGAGTTTTAGAAGTCTGCCTTGTGTCTGAAGCAGGAGGACGGCAAACTCAAGGCCTACCTGAACTACTTCGATCAGTTTCAGTAATAGTCCCCCCAAAGGATTAACTATAAAGCTCAGTGGTTGAATGCTTACCTAGCATGCATGTGCTCCTGGGTCCGATTCCCAGTACAGCAAAATAAAAACCTCCATTGTGCCCTAACTGTGGCATAAAAGGGGAAAAGAAGGAAAGCAACCTACAACAAAGTATATATTTCCACCTGTAAACACCTGCAGCCAGGGGCCGGGACAGTCACCTGACCGCAGTTGCTAGACCGCTGGACCTCCCACCGACTGCAGCTCCCTAGCCTGTAAACCGGATGTTTTTCCATATTGGCACACAGCTAGTGGGAAAGTCCCCAGAGCCAACGAAGCCGGAATATATATATATATTCCGAGACAGGGTTTCTCTGTGTAGCTTTGCGCCTTTCCTGGAGCTCACTCTATAGCCCAGGTTGGCCTCGAACTCACAGAGATCCGCCTAGCTCTGCCTTCGGAGTGCTGGGATCAAAGGCGTGCGCCACCACCACCCGGCTTGATTTATATTCTTAAGAAATCCAGCACTAGTTAATGCCATGGAGAGATACTTAGGCGCGTGATGGTTGGGTTCTAGGGGCAGATAACTGTGAATGGGGTTTTCCACTTACGTAAGTGTATGCAGAGACTCTGTGCTCATCCCTTGCTGTGTAGGACCAACGACCTTTGAATGGCAAAACTAGTACCCCAGGCCCTAACTTCATCTTAACTACCATAATGCCTCCACATCTCTAGACCCCGAAACACGGACAGAATAAATTCCCAGGCTTCCCTGTAGAGGGCAGTACCTCCCACTGAGACGTGAAGGGTGCTTGCCCCGCCCTTGACTTGCAGCTTTTTAGAGGCACCAAGCGTCTGCAAAGAGGTGTCTTTCCTTCGAACACGGGTCATTTTTCATTTTAGAAGCTAGAGAAGAAAGGTTTATGAGGTGGCGACTCGTCTAAGGTCCCAAAGCTGAGCTGCAATCCAGAGTGACCTCGGAATCTACCAACCAAACCGTTTTCGCCGCGGTACCTGTGGCCATAAGGGAATTTCGTGACTCTGAAAAGCTGGGTGGAAAGCTTCAGCAAACAGTTCCTTTGCATTTTATCCATCGTCTGCTCGTTAGCTGTCATGAGAAGCGTACACTAAAGGTTTATTACTTCATTTTAGGAACTTCGGGCCCCGACACAATGGATAAATTTGACCTGATTAAGATCATCGGGGAAGGCACCTTTGGGAAAGTATACTTGGCAAAAAATAAAACAGAAAGCAATCACTGCGTCATAAAAGAGATCGATTTTACAAAGGTAAGGTTAAGAAGTTCAAACTTTTGATAATTTTAAGTGGTATATTTAGCTTTAAATATATATATATATACATACATATTATATATATTATATGTATGCGTGCTTGCATGAGTTCATGTGAGTGCAAGTGTCTGCAGAGGTCAGCGGGCATTGGGTCCCCCTGTGGCTTAGCTTCCTTCCTTTTGTCAGTGCACCGGGTCAATGGGTCCTTCCCTGGCATTCTCCCAAGTCCAGCTTTCACGTGGCTCATTTTACCAGTGCCCCAGCCGTGGCCCCAGACTCCCCCTGTAAGGTCTAAAGGAAAAGATAGCTAGGCTGACTTCATAAAAATAAAACTTCTTGGCCCGATGGCATGCACCTGTAATTCCAGCTACTCCAGGGACTGAGGAAGATGTGCGGCACGTTCACGGCCTTTTGGGTGTCTGGGCTACCAGAGAGTTCAAGGCCAGCCCACACAACCTGCTGAGACCGTCTCAGAAATAACAAGCAGAGGCTGGAGAGGTGGCTCAGTGGTTAAGAGCACTGGCTGCTCTTCCAGAGGTCTTGAGTTCAATTCTCAGCAACCACGTGGTGGCTCACAACCATCTATAAGGGGTCTGTGAAGGGGCTCCAACAGCCCGAGTGTGGCAAACACGGCCCGAGCACGGCAAACAAACACGGCCAGGCACGACAAACACTACAGACAGGTTTTGCCCTTTACCCTCCCCCTCTCCCTTGCTAAAAACCATGACATCCCTAAAACTAGCCCCCAAGGTCCATTCCCTTATTTGGCCACTGACTCATTCCTGAGACAAAACACCAAGGTCCAACAATTGAAATTCATTCTTTGGCTACTATGTCCAGTCAGGATTTACCAGCTCACCTTAGCACAGACTCCCCCACTTTCCCCTTGAAAACCCACTCCTGCAGAAACACCCTCTCTTGCTCCCTGCTTTCCTGCTTCTCTTGCTTGCTCCACCCCCCCAAATAAAATAAAATAAAAATGAAAATAAATAAATTAAAAAAAAAGCAAAAAGAATACTGGGATGTATCTCAATGGTAGACCACTTTTTTTTTTCTTTTCTTTTCTTTTCTTTTTTTTTTTTTTTGGTTTTTTGAGACAGGATTTCTCTGTGTAGTTTTGGTGCCTGTCCTAGAGACAGGATTTCTCTGTGTAGTTTTGGTGCCTATCCTGGATCTCCCTCTGTAGACCAGGCTGGCCTCGAACTCACGGAGATCCACCTGCCTCTGCCTCCCGAGTGCTGGGATTAGAGGGGTGCGCCACTCCACCCGGCAGTAGAGCACTTTCTTAGCATGCACTAGACCCTAGGGTGAGGAAAAAAAATTTTTTGTCATATAATAATTCATTTTTATCCTATTTCCCCTCCCCCAAATCCTCCCTGTCTCCCTACCCACCTAATTTCATGATCTCATTCTCTCTCTCTCCTCTCTCTCTCTGCTCCTCTCCTTCCATGCATCTTTGCCACTCTGGTAGCTACATTTTTAAAAGTAGTCAAACTTACCAAGCTGGCAGGAGAGGGGTAAAAGCATTTTAAAATCTGAAATTCCCGTTCTGATCATGCCGTTTAGAATGAGGCATGTGACACTGGATCTTAGGTTAGAAGCGGGGGCTGAGAATGTCAATTAAAAAATATCGTCTGGGCTGTTTGTGTGGCAGAGGGTGTGCTTACCTTGTTCAAGCTGCAGCAGAAGAAAAATGGAAGGGAGGAAGAGGAGGAAGGTAGTCCAGCACTCAGGAGGCTAAGGCAAGAGAACCCTCAATTCCAGGCCAGCCCAAGTTGCCTAGAGAGGCACACGTCCTCCAGAGAGAGAGAGAGAGAGAGAGAGAGAGAGAGAGAGAGAGGCAGGCAGGTAGGCAGGCAGGCAGGCAAACAGACAGCATGGGATATGTACATAGGCACCAAAACAGTAGAAAAGTATTATTCTCAGATGACAAATAGAATAATAAATTACAAAACTAAAGTTAAATCATAAAAGATGTTTTCTTTTGACATTTGTTTATTTACTTGTGTGTATGTGCACGCCTGTGTGACCCAGCACACACATGGAGGTCAGAGGACCACTGTGGGCATCAGTTCTTTCCTGCTTCCACCATGTGGGTTCCAGGGATCGACCTTAGGTCCCCAGGTTTGGCAGCAAGTGCCAAGCCTGCTAAGCCCTCTTGCTGGCCCCAAGAAACTGGTTTTTGTTTTTGTTTTGAGACAGGATCTCCCTTTGTAGCCCAGGGTGTCCTCAAATTTGGGATCCTCCTGCCTCAGACTACTGAGTGCCAGCATCACAGCATGTATGGCTTATTTCCTAAAATTGAAAAATGCAGAATACGGAATCTTGCTGGTCTGTTTTTTGTAGCATATGACAATTTTCTTCTCAGCAGTGACTGCTCTTGAAATGTTATGTCTTAGAAAGGATTTCCTTATGCTGGAGGATAAAGATAATGAGTAAATCTAGTTGCTAATTTCTTTATAATTTGCATTTACTTCTTATAACAGGACCTCGCTATGTTGCCCAGGATGATCTCCACCTCCTGGGCAGCTGGGAATACAGTTGTGTATCAAGTGTAACCAATTCCGAACTTTTAGTACAATAATATTTCCCCAGCATTATTAATTTTCTCGATTATAATTGTCACTAATAAGCCGATGGTTAGATAGGAGGCACTCTGCTCATTCCACAGTGGCCCTGCCTTTGAGAGATAAGTTTTAGAAGTGACATTGAAGCCAGTGGCATCTTGGGGGATTTCGGATGGCAGTGAGCAGGAAGCATGCTTCTATTAGCCGGTTACCTCTGCAAGACACGCTGTCTCGAAATATCACTTTGATGCCCTTCCAGGAAAAAGAAGCTTCACAGAAAGAAGTGATTCTTCTGGCTCAGATGAAGCATCCCAACATTGTAACCTTCTTCAGTGCCTTTCAAGGTTAGATTTTTCCATCATTAAAGTATCCCAATAAACTAAAGAGCTCTAGAAAAGATGTGTTCCCAAGAATTGTGTATTTATTAAATTTTGTAAGTGTGTTCATATTCCTGTGTAGTTAAATTGTAATCTGAAACGTTGTCTTTATTTCCTATCTGGTGAGGTTTGTCCTTTGCGACAGGTCTTCTGTAGCCCAGGCTGGGCTCAATTCACTGCATAGTTGAACATAACCTCAAAGTCCAGATCCTCTTCTTCGGCCTCCCCAATGCTGAGGTTACAGGTGTGTTCCACCATGCTGAGCCCTTCTAGTGACTTATTATAGATGGCTTCCCTCTCATAAGTTTTTGCACATCTCCTTAATTCTTATTCTTCCAAGTAGACAATGTGTGCCAGATTGGAAGTAGTGGTAACGCTCCAATCACAGTGGCCTACAGTAATACCCATCCATTTCTCATTCCCACTCCATGCTGGCTGCCGGTGGAGTGTGATGTCTGTGGTCCTGGATAAAGGGACATTGCAGAAACGGAGCATGTCGCTTTGTAAGCTACCAGGAAGAGGGGACACAAAAGCCCAACAGGCACACTGTCATGTTCAACCTGATGGTCCCTTGTGCTCTGTGACAGTAGGTGGTGCTGTATAA